AGGACGGGGTATCCAGTAGAAAAAGAAGACGAAGGGTAAATGATGGGTCATTCATGGAAAGCGTATCAAACCGCAATCTTTCGTGTTTCGTAGGGTGTGATACCCTGAGGAAGGAGTGCGCAGCATCGCGCGAGAGATCTCAGAATTTCGTCGAACCCCATTCCAACGTGGCAAGGATCGAAGACGGACTGAGCTCTCTCGGGTGATACCGTTAAACTGACTTCCGTCTGCCCACCTACCTACCTACCTACCTACTTTCGTCCTCGTATATCGTCGAAAGGAGAGAGAAAGAGAGACGAGCGAGAGAAGCGAGATGCGGAGAATAATTCCGGGTATTCAAAAAAACGAGGAAAAGAACAGGGAAGACGGCCGAAGAAGACGGTGTTTTTTTACCCGAAAATGTACAGACAGGGTGCCGCTTTCACGATGATGATGTATTAAACTATCAACTTCATTCTCTATTCAAATATCATTCTTCTCTTCATCTCGAAACATTTGACAAATCATTAATTTCTCTCGGTGAGATAATCTTGTATTTCATTGCAAAAGAATGCGGAGTTATAATATAAATATCTGAAAAATAAATGCACGAACGTATCGATCTTTCGTTGCACGTCATTTTCAACCTGGATACAGAGACATGAGAATTCCGAAGTTTGGATAAATCTAGCTGGTGATATGCAAGTTTTGTACAACGCGAGACAATATCAATTCAGGGGGATTTAATCTTTCTCGTTTGTATTCTTCAAGTTTCACGGCACGAAAAGGGAGAGAGAGAGGGAAAGAGAGAGAGAGAGAGAGAGAGAGAGAGAGAGAGAGAGAGAGAGAGAGAGAGAGAGATAGCAAGAGTCGGACATGTGGAACGGGTCACACCCTCCGGGTCGCATTATTGCCGAGCTCTGTATGTACACGTACGCACGTGACTCGCGTCCAGGGTCGGCGCAAGTGGGTTGGCGTTCGCTCGCGCTCGGTCGGTCGTTACTGTCGTCCTCGTCGTGAGTACCCCCTGGCTCGTTCAACGACCCCGAGACGACGCACGGCGGCAATGTATGTACGCAACTCTCGGCTCGTCTCGGCGCGGCGCGGTGTGGCACGGTATGGCATGGCGCGGCGCGGCGCGGCACGTGACGTGCCCAGGATTGGGCCCTACACCGGCAACGGTAAATGAGGGGTCCAGGACCCCCGGTCCTTTCGCCCGAGCCTCTCACCGACGAACCGCGCGCGTGACGATCCAAAGGAATCAATCATCCATTGTCGACGCGCGACGCCTCTGAAATCGGAGCAGCGCGCGGCGCGCGCGTGGAAAGTCTTCCCGGCCGCGCGGGCGTGAAAAGCCTCGAGACTTTCGTGATCAATGAGGATGAAACCCCCTCCCGGATCGTTTTCTACGGCAGTACCGTTGTTTATTCGATTTAGCACCGTTATTCGAGCGGAGCGCGACGAAACCACCCGTTAAAAAAAAAATCCCGCAAAAAGTGTCATTCCGTTGTTTTCTACCTATACACTAGAAGATATACAATGTCTCGCTCGTGATAGCTGGTTCTGAATTTTCAAGACTTGCGCAAGTTACGTGTACGTATACGTGCGCATCTCTCTCTCTCCTCTCTCTCTCTCTCGCACACGATTATCGCAATTCTGTTTCCTTCTTTCACGCATCGATCGCTACCGGAATTCGCCATGCGTCTCGTCGCACAGAGTTATTGTGCATGCGAACGAGGTGGCATCGCACGTGGGACAAACGGGGGGATCAAAGGTCGTCGAGTGACAGGAAGCGTTATTGTGCGCCGGATGTCGTAACTTCCGAGTCCTTTGGCCCCGGACGTCCCGCCCCGCGTACACATGCCGCGTATGTGCACTCTCGTCTGCCGCGACCTGAATCCCGGCGCGAGATTCATACACTTTCGATTACGAATTTGGATCGAGTGACCGATAATTGGCGCCGTTTTCGACGTTAGACGAAACGCACGCGGGCACGGTGATTCTCTGGCGATAGAGAGTATTTAATCTCGTCAGCCCCTGCTCGAGTGACACGACTCGCTTGACCTTAATTTCAAGTGTACGCGGGATGCTCTAAAAGCGTATCGGCGTATCGGCCGATCCCGTTCCCCGGCTTTAAAATCGCGGCTAAAGAAATCGACTTAAAAAGAAGAAAAAAAAAAAAGAAGTGCCTCGGATTACCCGAGCGAAAGAAAGAGAGAGAGATCCCTCCACGAGTCGAAGATCGGCTTGAGTCAGGACGGTTGTTCACGAGTGAGGCGCAAGTAGCGAGCGCGCGCCCCAACGCGCCCTCCTCGAGCGAGAGGGCGGCAGAGAAAGGAAGAGATAGAAGGGGGGGGGGTGGAAGGGGGCAGAAGTGCCGAAGGATAGCTAGAGAGGTGCGGAAAGGAAGGGGAAGAGAGGAGGCAATGATAAAGCGAGAGGGAACGACAAGAAATCATAGAATGAGGGAGAGAAAGATAGAGCGAGGGGGTGGGGAGGAAAGAGGGCACCGAGAGAGAAAGAGAGACGGAAGAGAGAGAAAGGAGGGAAGAGGCGCGACGAGAACGAGATGAAGAGACGAAGAGTCAAAGAGCGGGACAGAGAGAAAGTCGTACGAGAGAGAGGAAAGAGAGAGAGAGAGACAGCGAGCGAGAAGTCAGAGGGAGAGAGGGGGGAGGAAGCAAGAAGGAGAAAGGGAGGGTATGGTCGTTGTGAGCTCCTTACAGTGCATTGCCTTTACGAACCCCCCGAGTCCCGTCACACCCCGTGCCCTCTCCCCTCTACCCTTCCTCCTATCTCTCTCCCTCGACAAATCGCGCACGACGTGCCTCTCATGAAGAGATCCACGAAACCAGCTTCGCCGTCGAGCGATTCGGGTCGTCGAGACTCATCGAGGGGAAAGGGGGAAAGGGGACGGGGGAGAAGGGTTCAGGGAAGTCACACACACGCGCGCGCGCGCACGCAAACACACACACACACACACACACGTTTCGCGTGTCGACAACGGGGTGCCGGTGTACCCCGTTTGTTTTCGTGCCGACGGTGGCGAAACCGTTCTCTTCTCGAGAAGGTAGAGGGACCGACGATGCTCTCATCTTTCTCCCGAGTCGTCGGTGCGTCTAGCGAAGCTCTCACCGCCGATCTGTCGTTTCGAGGGTTACGGGGTTATCAGTTTGGTCAAGCGAAGAGCGCTCGAGAAGAAAGTCGCTCAAGAGAAAGAGATCGTCGCGGGATTTTGAGAGACTCGATACAAATATCCGAATTTAAGCTATATATACTTGACGAAGTGCGAATATTTAATTTCCTCCAATTTGTAAAAACAATCTCCGACGTCTAGCTCCGATTCGTACAAGTGGATAAATTCTCGATACCGCGGATTCTCTTCAGCAGGACGCATCGGCGGCAATCGCCGGGTACCCATTGAATTACCCTCGTTTTCGATTCGTGCCTATAGCAACTCCCCCGAAAACTCGCCTCACGGGCGAGTACAGCAAGAGCGGGACCTCGGATCTCTCTTCGCGACGACGGCGCGGCGTCTCGACAAAGCGCCCCGCGCGTCTAAAATAGGCGCGCTAACGCGCGCAGAGGGACTTTCGAAACAGCCACGTTTCACATGCCGCGCGCTCGCCCGCCCGCCTCCGCGCCGGCGGAGGGAGACTCGGATGTGGCCTCGCTCCGCGTTCACCCTCTCTCCCTCCCACCACCCTGCTCAGCCATGCCCCCCCCTAACCCTTTCGTCCCCGCATGCTACGCTCGCCCGCGCGCGCGCGCGAACCATGTCGCGACAAATACGTCGCTTCCTCGTCGCGTCGACGTTTGATAACGCGCGCCCGCCGCGCGTATTTACCTGTTCTGTTTCCTGGCTCGTCACGATAGGCACCAAGCTCGCCCGCGCGATGTGGAAATCCACTTGGAAGAGACGAGGGATCGCGAGGCGGACGGAGAGGACGGATAGGGAGAGAAGGAGGACGGGGAAGTCTTGTAATAGAAACTCGAGAGTCATTCGTGCTATTTATAGCCTTTTCGAGGTAGTCCGATAAGGGAAGATCTTAGGCGCGTTTATAATGAATGGCGGTTGACGGGATTGTGTGGTTGCGTCTCGCGACGCGCAGGTGTGACCGACCTGATCTAACTAGAAACGCGGAGTTTACTTTTCGTATATATAGTGGCTCCTATACTTTCGAGCTCCTTTGGGGGCAACCACCTTGTTCCTGTCTCGCTACGCTCCCTCCCCCCTCCCCCCCCCGCCCTAAATTCGACGTTTTGTGGGAGCGACGTGGCGCGCGCGGATACCGCAAATACCGTATCGCGATGTTACGTCTGATTTGACGATATAGTGATTGAGGACGTGGCGCGGAAAAGTTCTTGAGATATTCTCAAAGTATGTGGAGTAGTGGAGCGGAGTAGACGCCGCGAATCGCTCTCGCTATTACACGCGGCCGGCGCCGCCGCCGTCGCGACGCGACGAGCCGCGCGTGGAATCGAAAGGATAAACAAAAACGACGCGGGTAGCACGGGTAGTACCGTAACTCATGGATTCGCTCGCTCGCTTCTCTACCTGCGTGCCCGCGCGATTCACGCCCTTCTCTTCCTGTGCTCCCGTCCTCCCCCCTGTCCCGCCCCGTCCGCTCATACACTAACGGTGAATCGCAATGCGGCCTCGCCGAGAGTACTGAGACAGCTGAGACTACTGAATAGTACCGCGAGCTGCGGACGATACTCGTAGCGTCATCTACGGGCGATAATCAGCTTCATTTGAGCCGCCGAAGCGCGGAGGTGGACAGCATATGCCATCTAGCGGCGGACGGTGAAATCGATAACGCCGGAGACTCCGTTTGCGTTAAATTATAACACAATTTCTCGTATTATTTGTTAATCAAAATGTACTCAGTATTTGTTCTATTTTTCGCAATAAATATTTCGTGCGCTATACTATTGTACCTTTAACCTTTGAATTAATCTAAATTTAATTTTGTAGAGAATGTAGCATTTCGTTTAACTAAAATAGCAACGAAATCAAATCAGTCTTCAAACAGTATACCACACTTTATACCTATTTATTATAAATTAAACTGAATTTTGTACGAGCTATTTTTACATACATAAAACGTATTTTACGTACAAGCAAATATTTCTCACGATAGCAAAATATCACAGTCTATATGTACATGAAAATAATCAGTCCACTTTGTCAAGTCATTTATCCACAGTAATATAAAATGTGCGCGATTTTTACTGTCACGAACTTTTAGAGAATTCTCTTACAGTCTCAGGTCCTCTAACTATTACATGTTGCACCTCGCTCTTTTCTATATGAAATTTAATTATCTCAGGATTGAGATTGCTCACTCTGCTTTTTCCACGCCTTCGCGGAAGCCAGGAACTTGAGATTAGGCCGCTGCGACTCGTCCTCCGGAAACACAAAGTCGAACACCTCCTCCCATCCGTCGTCGCTGCCGTCCTCGCCCACGACCCGCCTCTTCTTCTTCACCCGGCGCGGCATCTTCTCCACGATCTTGGCGAGCGTCTCCGGGGTGCCTTTCTCGCCCTCAAAGTCCTTCCACGCCTCCAACAGCAACACCCGGCTCTCGGTGTCGCCGTTGGATCTCAGAGCGTCGTTGCCGCGCTCGAAGATGCGTCTCGCCAGGATGACGTTGTCGGGGCTGTCCTCCAGTTGCGGATTCAGCAGCTCGAACTTGGCGTACGCTATCCAAACCTTGACGTGCAACGTGCGCTCCAGCAGCCGCTCGAACAGCTGCCGGGCGTTCTCGGTCTCGCCCTGGGCGATCTCGAAATCGATGTACGACTTCCACAGCAGCTCCGGCATGTCCAGCCGCGGCCGCGCGACGGCGAACTCGTATATCGACCGGGCGCGGTCGATCTCGCCCAATCGCGTCTCCAGCTCGGCGAATCGCATCCACGTGGTACAGTTCTCCGGCCCGAACTCGAGGAACTTCTCGTACAGCTTGCGGCATCGGTCGAACTCCACCAGCTGTATCTCGAGGTCGATGTAGCCGCGATAGAGCTTGTCCGTCGGGCAGATGCCCAGCGCCAGGCCCAGCATCTTTCTCGCCTTGAGCAGGTCCTTCTGCCGTATCTCGAAGTACGCGTAGAGCAGCCAGATCTTGGAGAAGGTGAAACGCTTGTGCGGTATCAGCTCGAGGCAGACCTTGTACACCTGCCGGCACCGTTCGACGTCCTTGGCCTCCAGCTCCTCGAAGAGGGCGTACTTGATCCAGAGGTATATGTACCGCCGCCAGAACTGCTTCTCCTTGGTGGGCGGCACATTGGCGATCGCACGCTCGTACGTCTCGCGTATCACGTCGACGTTACCCTCCGACTCCACCAGTCTCAGGTAGTCGAACCACGCGTCGTAATTCGAGGGATTCTCCTTGATCTCCTGCTCGTACTGATGCTTCCGCTTGCTGACAATCACGTCCTCGATGCCCGAGCGGTCGCCGTACTTCTTCTCGTGGATCGTGTATGCCTTGTAGATCTCCTGCGTGTTGCTCTTCGGTATGTTCTCCAACGCGTACTTGTAGATGATGCGGGCCCGGTCGTGCTCCCGTTGGCCCTCCTCGAACTTGGCGAACGCCAGGAACAGCTTCTCGTCCAGGCCCTCGTCGCCGTAGAAGTGGACGGCGCGCTCGTACACGGCACGCGCGCCCTTGATGAAACCGTACGACTCCTCGAAGCGGGCGTACTTGATCCAGTGCCTCACGTCGGGGTGCACCATGACGAAGCGCTCGTAGATCTGCCGCGCCCGGTCGGTCTCCCTGTAGCGCAGCTCGAACTTGATGTACGTCTGCCAGGCCTGCTCGTCCGGCTCCCACTCCATCCACCGCTCGAACACCTGGCGCGCCCCGGCGATGTTCTCCAGGGTCTCCTCCATGTAGGTGTATTTGTACCAGAACTGATTGGCGCGCGGCAGCAGGGTGACCGCCCGGTCCCAGAGATTCCTCGCGTGGTTCACCTGCCGATTGCGCATCTCCATCTCGGTGTACTTGAGCCACAGCGCGATGTTACGGTGGTCGACCTCCAGCGCCCGCTCGTAGATGGATCTCGCGCGTTGTATCTGCTTCTGGCTCTCCTCCCATTGCGCGTACTTCATCCAGTTCGTGATGATCATGCGATTCTTGCGGATGATGTCCTCGAACGCCTTGCGCTTGCGGTGCTGGTAGTCCGCGAGCTCGTGCGGATCCGAGATCTTCTGCTTCGGCGGCGGCGGCAGAATCTCCAGGTCGCGCTCCTTCGCCTCGCGCAGCAGCTGCTCCGCGGTGATCTGTATCTCCGCGGGCGCCTTGTTCTTCACCTTCGCTACCTTCGGCATCTTCTGCGACTTCTCCATGGTGGACTTTAGGAGGTTAGGGGGACTCGGTTCGATGTTACAGGCCTCCTTCGGCCTCGTCTCGGTAGTACTATTGTACGTAGTACGCTGCGCCGTACTATTTTCGCTGTAACACGGAGTATACAATCTCGGCGGACGTTACAGATTACTCGGAATCGCGTAAAATTACGAACAACGACGTGCACAACGGCACACACGACGCGCTTTTACACGCTTTTACCAGTTTTTTTACCTTCCTAACCTAACTAACCTTCCCTCCGAATCTTGCGAGCCAGAACTAAAATTTCTCTAGATAGTCTAGGATCATTTGCCGTTTATGTATCTGAAGCTCAGTCTGATTGGTTGCCACAGATCGAGAATGTTGAGACTGATTTGCGATTGGCTGCTACATTATAATACTGCTGTCTCTCTCAATGGCCCTATTGCTCCTTGTCCTGTACTTGGTAAAAATTACAGGTTAGGACGATACCTCCTCCCGGCGAGAGTCGTCAATTTGTATGGAGTAACATGATATAAATTTATTATGAAAAAATGGCATGTTTGTTTAACAGACAAGTGTTCAGAAAACTGGCTAAAATGCAAGTTGCCAGATACGGTCATAAAGTGGATCATTGGGTAAGTGATTTTACTGTGCTCTTTATAATCTAGCTTATCTTTCTTATGAATAAATTATTGTATAAAGAATTGTTATAATTTTATTAATTTTTTATTGATTTTTTTATTTGTTTACATATACATAAACGTAAATTGTTTATATTTTAAATTTATAATTGATTGCCGTCTGATTGTTATAATTGTTATAATTTTATTTATTTTTTACTGGTTTTTTTATTTGTTTATATATATATACATATATATATATATATATTTAACATTTATAATTAATTGCTGTCTGATTGTAAATGCAGAACAACTTTGTAAAATTCTAAATGCAACGATTGTTTAATTCTTTTTTCTTTTTGCTTAGTCTCGGATTAGAAAGAAAAAGACACATATGGACAGAGCACTGAAACATTTCGACGAGTTCTATGGTAATGTCTATGGAAAGTCATGGGAAAGTATAAGAACTGCGTTACTGATGGAAGAGCACAAGTACATGGCTGTTGTGAACAGCTTCAGTGATATCGATAGAATAAAGTCAGAGTTAGAGGTATATTCGTATGATAAAGAATTATTGAAAGTACATTACGATTTTTGTCTAACGTCTGGTTTTCCCTCTAGTCCCACGGCGCTATGAATCTGAAAACAATTTACGAAATCTATAAGGAGTATATTGATGAAAAACCATGTAAATCTGATAAAAAAAGGAGAGAGGAAAATCAAGCTAGTGATCGAATGGAAGCTATGATTTCTGACGCCGAAATGTCGGTGGTGCAGTCGCATTATCCTGTGGATTATGAGTCACCGCCAACATCTCTAAGTACAAATAACGAAGCTGAAGATGTAACGGCGAAGGACCAAGCGTTGCAGCCTATAGAAATGAAATCTATTGACTCAAATTTGAGTGAAGTCGCTTTAGACGAAAATCGAATCGTGCACCCCAATGCCGGCTTGAGCGGATTATACGAATTTGTACCAGCCACAAAAATCAAAGGTAATTGATATTGCAAAGATCTGAAAGTACATGTATCAAGCCTGGAAATTTTAATATTAATTGTAATTTATATATATTTATACATTTATTAATATATATTTATTAATATTACATATTTATTAATGTGCTGTTTTTCAGGTATGGAAGATTGGGTATTGGAGTCGCAGCACTACGGCTATTACAAAGAGGGCTCGGAGTTTTCCGTAAACGTCGAGAAGGAAATGGTGTTGACGTTTCCGCAGTTTCTCAACATTTATACGTTTGAGGGAAGCAATAACAGCAAATTTCCATCCCCGAGGAAAGGATCAACCGGCGTCTCAGGTTGGTTTAACTTTAACTGGGAACTCTAAATTTCATCGATATGAGCGTCACGTTTGTGTTACATAGATTATTATCTCCTGGATGGTGCCTCCGTGTTACCCATATTTGCCTTGGACTTGCAACCTGGTGACGCCGTGCTAGATATGTGCGCGGCACCGGGAGGTAAGATGTTGAGCATTCTTCAGACACTCATGCCGCAAATGTTGGTGGCTAACGACATTCAAAAGTCTCGAGTGAACAGGATCCACAGTGTCATAAATCAATACGTAGCCGGCATCGGCAACTGGGAGGATAGGTTGATTGTGACACAGCGAGACGCGAGATTTATTGACGACAAGGATATGTTTAACAAGGTAATACACAGAAAATTTATATATTATTATTACATATTATTACATATATAACATATGATCTTTTTTTCGGAATTCTTATAATAATTATTTCTTTACAGATCTTGGTGGATGTGCCGTGTACTACGGACAGACACGTTTTGCATTCGGAAGACAACAACCTCTTCAAACCGCAGAGGATTCAGGAGAGATTAAAAATACCTGAGTTGCAAGCGGCCATTCTGACGTGCGTACGAAATTTCGCTACTCTGTCGTAAATGCGTGTCACGTTATTTGTCTCTGTTAAATTTGTCCGTTACAGTAATGCGCTGAAGATAATATCGGTCGGCGGTACGGTCGTGTATGCTACTTGTTCCCTCAGTCCTATTCAGAACGACGGCGTCGTCGGTATGGCGCTGAAAAAGGCCTGGGAGGAAACCAATTCTATCATGATTGTAAAGTAAGTGTTTTTTTTTCATACATATATAACAATAAATTGTTATCTAACGCAGTTTATTAACGGACACGCTTTGTTGAGACAGAGATATGAGCGAAGCGCTGAATCCATTAAGATGCCTTTATAGATTCGGCAATTTTGGATTAAAATACGGCCATATCGCCATTCCTACGCTCAGTAATAATTGGGGTCCCATGTACTTTTGTAAAATAGTACGAACACGGTAACACTAGGTGAGTGAATGTATATATAATTTCAGATCTTAAGATGTTGTATATTTTATTATTAGTTATTATATAATAAATAATATATATTTTATATATTATACAACGAAATAAACCTCGTTTTATAATCTTATGCAACTATATGTAAAACTGTGAAATATATTGAACTTACCCCTATCACGATAAAAATGCGCAGAATATAAAATACATATAAAGTCCTTTACGACGCAACACACGATAAATTAATCATAAATTAAGCCGTAATGTTTTTTCTATTTTGTGTTATTTCTCCTTAAAGGTAGTGTCTGATCGTTCGCTTCCTCGTCAGGTGCTTCAATCTGGTTCCAGGGTTGTTCGTTACCGCTCCCAAAGGTAGTGTAAACCACTATTTCGATTATGTATAGAATGACCGTTACGAGAAATATAATTCTCCATGCCTCTATGGTTTGCTGTAAATAATTAAAATAAAATCAATATACGCCGATGAGATCGGCGTAAAGTAAAGAAAAATTGATTTAACGAAGGACTAATTGTTTCTTTGGAAATAATACGGTCCTCTTTTCGCTCCGTGACTGAAATCTTTTCGCCTTATCACTTACGTTTCCGTGAGTCAATTGTCCCACGAATACCGGCACGACGAAACCAGGTATGGTGGCGACGAAATTCGTTACCGCTACCAGGCTACCGGCAAAGTTCGGTGCGATATCTATATGGTTTGCTAGAAAACCGGAGTACATTCCGCCGATGCAAGTCACCGCGATCGTCATCAGCACGACTGCTCTTGTGCGATCGCACCCGACGTACGACACCTGTATTAAGCATATCATGGGCACGACCGACGCTGCAACAGTTTCAAAATTAATTAGAGATTGAAATATGCATTTGAAAAGAATAAAAGTAGCTATGTAAGATATCCAAAATACTCGCGTTGCTATATTGAGTACGACTAAAGTCGAAATATATATCTACATTACGTATACGTTTAAAGTTGATTTTTTTTAAAATTCGATTTGTAATATTAAACGTACCAAAGAGAGTGCCGATTTTTCTAGAGATTGTTACTGTGATCAGACCCTTCTCCTGCAGAGTGGCTAATACTTTGCTCAGAATCATGGTGAAGAGCCACATGCAGAAAAACGGGACGGACGATAAACCTGCATTCTGATGTACGAACAAATTAACTCATAATGTTAAAATGTATGCGAATGTTATAGCAAATTTTAAAACAGTTCTTACTGAGCTCATGTCGAACTTCAGGATCTGATTCATAAAGGTGGGCAGTTCGATCAGTAACATGTACCAGCCGAAATTACTGCAAAAATGAGTTATTAGGATTGCCATAAACGGTTTGGAACGAAACACTTGTAGCCATGGAATCTGTAATAGAAATTGCAAATGCATAAAAAATGTGAAGAAATTTTTAATATAACGCGTTTAATTCTCAATTTACCACTTTGGGAATATTCTTCTTGTGTCCTCCCAAAGACATGATGATGTAGTTCTTCTCCTTTTGATTGATGAATCTTGTTTGTTCTTCCGGGGAATCCGCTATCATTAGCCACCAGAGAATGCACCAAATCAGGCAAAGCGCGCCTTCAACGTAAAAGATGGATTCCCAACCGAGATTCGCGGCCAGCAAACCGGTTAATAGGATAGAAATCACGGTACCGAGTGCCGTTCCTAAAAATTCCTCAACTTATATTTTTTCTAATATTTTTCGAATAAACGAGGAAAATTTACGACGCGTTCGAAAGTTCTAGATATCAAATATATCTAATATATATATATATATATCGTGATTTTTATTAGACTTGTACCAAGGAAAAGGCTCAACTGTCGTTACAATTTTCGCCTTGTAATTACCGATCTCGAAAGAATCGCGGAATAACGACGAAAAGCTCTTATATTACTGGCAGGTCGCAAAGGTGACGTCTTCTGTAATTTTCCCTCTTACCTGCATACACGATCGAGGCGATGACGTTTCTTTCATTCGGCGGCGCCCACTTGGCGATCATTACGTGCATGGCGGGGAACGATACACCCTGTAATTTAAGCGCTTGAATTTACAATCGTGTCGAAATATTATGTCTATTGATATAACAAGTCATCGTTACTGACACCACCGATACCCTGAAGAAATCTCATAACTATGAAAAGCCAGTAGTGAATACGCGCGGCGACGGGCGTCAGTATCGATGCAACGACATTCAACAGGACCGATCCGTTCATCAGCCACTTAGCTGACCAGAGTTCCGCCAATCTTCCACCCGGCAACATAGACACCGTGTAGCCCCAGAAATAGGAAGACAGAATGAGACCCTGAATGAGTTCGTTCCATATGAACGGACCGTTCTGTAAAAAGATGTAATACAGTTAGATTTTTTCTCTTTTTTTTTTATTAAAACGCTAAGGTTTTTTTTTGCTAGATATTGAGAATTACATGCGCGTGAATATCTTTTTCACCGTAAAATATCATCGCACCTCGTCATCGGTCGTCGCGACGTTTGAGGTATCATCGAAGTGGCAAATGTCCGTGTTCGTTAACGCGGTATTGTTAGTTTCTGAATCGTTCGACGATTTAGATAATTTGATGTATGACTTAATGGCTGTATGGTTCACCATGGCGACGATAGCTACGCTGGCATTAACTTTAAAGCCATAAAGAATGGCAAGGCCGATCGATCCCATTATGGCCATTAAGTATCGAAACGGAAACAGCGTTCTGTGTCCTCCTGCTAGAAATAATAATTGCTGCTTTAAACAATAATAATATTATTGAATAATGTTACAACGAGAAGTTTTTTAAGCATAAAATTAATGGAAGGAAATTATCTTTCTCGTAATTCTTTAAATATTAGATATTTTTTTCTAAATTTTTTATTAAGCTTCAAATTTTTAATTTCTATTTTATTTTTGTGACGAAAATTAAAATAGTATTTGATAATTTAACATATTTTTTATCATCTGATTTATCACGCAAGAAATTCTCGATTGCGGTTCGATTCGCTGATTAGATCAGGACAATTATACTTAATGAATCATGTTTCTGCTAACTCTTATCCTTTCACGTGATATACGTGATGAGTTGCACGTGGCACTTGTCGCCTACCTAAAGTAATCAGGCCGTAAATGCTTTCTCTTCCGAAATATCACGACAGAATTATTAATTAAGATACTTGCACAATTGTATTTCCTTGTATTTTTATATCTTAGAACATGTAATATATGTTCTAAGTTTTATATGCACGAGAACTGTTTCTGGGGCGGAAAAACGAGAACTTTGAATACGAGTTTCGTGAATTGAAAAAATTTTCTGCCCGCGGACGAAATGTTCTTCGAAGGAGTATACATTTCCCACGTCTGGCTTGCGGCGAAATCGATTTTTGTAATCTCTTGGGTATGTTCAAAGGCGTGTACCTAAGAGATTATTTTAAGAACGAGAATTTACGACGTGCCGACATGCGGGCCGTCGCGTCGCTTTGAATGTAATGTCATCCTGATGCAACTCTGAATTTCGATGGCGATCGCAGTGCTCTATCCTCGCGCAATTTATATTATTTGAATTTAATTGCATATCTCTCGCAAATCTTTACGCCTCCGAGATGTAATAACGAAAATTCGTAATTACATATGTTAAGTGATAAGCACACCTGTCGGCACTTGCACAGCGTTGCGTCATCACTCATAATGCTAATACAATACACACATGTCACAAATCGGTTGTAAATCAATTTTCAATTGAGAAAAATTAGCTGAAATTCTAGACGTCTCGCAAAAATCGATCTGGAGTAGAGGACGCATAAAGGTCATGCGGAAGGTGTCATTCAAAGCAGAGATATCTTGTATATTTTTGAAAAAATTAAATGATGCAATTTAGACATATGAAGTAATTAGAGTTTAAGAAATATGATTGAAAGTTTTAATAAAAACTAATAGTAGCATAAAATATCTGTCTCTTATGAATGACTTCTTTATTGCTTCAGCAATTTTTTTCTTTCTTTTAATATTTCATAATTCTAAATTACATTTGTAAGATTAAAATCTTGATCTTCCTAAAAATCGACAGAAGAATCGTTACTTACTGTTGGAATTTTCCACCGCCATTTCAATATTTTTGACCATCCAGAGGATTCTCAGGATAATGTATTGCACAAAAATTTATCACGCTTCTGCAATATTCCCTGTATCTCCTATTTAATTTTATACCGTCGCAGAGTTTCCTTAATTTCATCGAGTGGACCTATTCTGGTGTCCACAGTCGATCGCTTCCGGCTAGTCACGGGAGCAGCGTGCCACTGACGTAAAGCAGTACGGGAAAGCCGTGAAATTCTTGGAGCGACTCCGGAGGGATGCGGAGCGTGCGCCTCTTCTATAAACGCCCGCTGCACGCACGCGTGTGCGTGCGTTCGTGAGAGGAAAGTCACACACGAAACGCAAGAGGCCGATGCCTCCGTATACTCCCGATCCCAATCGTTGACACTGATGTAAGGCGAAAAGGGCAAAGGGTGAAGAAGCAGTCATCGCATCACCTCGCATCGTCTCCGCATTTCGTGGCTAACAATAAGGGAAAAAGTTTAAAAATCGTTATTTTTCCAATGTAACAAGTTGTGTGATAAAATAATATTGCAATAACAATTACGACAAATGAACTGTTAAAAAGTGTAAGTATGTACAATGGCGATGATTATTCATAAGGAACGCGATTGATCGCGCTCGACTATTCTGAAAGTTTTTATGAATGAAAAGCCTTTTTAAACTCGAGATTTTTACTTTTACTCGACACTTCGTCGATCGCGATTCTCCTTGGTCCATCGTGTGTATTTAAATTATTTCTAGAACGCTCCTGTTCTCCGTATCGTATCTTACAAAGTTTTGTATTTTTATATATATTTTTTTTTATTCGAGAGAACCTGAAGCTAGGCTCGAGCGAACATCGAGTAAATTAAAAAAAAATGTCGACGGCGTTTGCAAATTTCTAATAAGAGGGACTTTTCTCCCTCCTTTTTCCCCTCGTATTCTTTCATTATCCCCACGTGAGCTCATGATCTTGCTAGTGTGCGGGCCGCCAAAAGCGTCACAGTGAACATGAGCGCGAACTCGGAGATCGGCGATCATCTCGACGAGATCTACGACTGGATCGATCAAATCAAATTTTCCAGGCCCAAAAGAAACATAGCCAGAGACTTTTCCGATGGAGGTAAACGAGAAAAAGCACCCTGTAATCTAATGTAAATCCATTTGGCAATTCTTCTCCCACGAAATACCGACACGAGATACATTTGCTTTCAAAAATAACATTGTGAAATTTAATCGCTATACGATTAAACCGCAGTGTTGATGGCGGAGCTGTTGAAACGCTATTATCCTAAGCACGTGGACGTGCACAATTACGTCGCCGGCAACAGCGTCGCGAAGAAGATCGACAATTGGAGCACGCTGAATCGCAAGGTGCTGTCGAAGATCAACATTAGGCTGGGGAAGGAGGCGATCAATCAGCTGGCGAGTTCCCAGCCGGGCGTCATAGAGAAGATCCTCGCCGATCTACGGGTCAAGATTCTGAGAGATTCCAACGCCGACAGAGACACCTTGTACTTCGGCCACGAGGAGAGTAAAGGTGGCTACTGAACTGTAACAAATTATACCTCTCCTTTTCCCGACATTTTTTTTAAATTTCTACGCAATAATACAGAGGCCGTAAAGTCCGTGCTAAATCCCGACGAGGTGGCGAACAAGACCGTGCCACGGCACATGTTCACTCGGCTGAAGCAGGAGCTGCAGGAGAAGAACGACACGATCTCCACGTTGCAGCAGAAGATCTCGCATCTGGAAAGCATATTGAAGCTGAAGGACCAACGGATCGACGACCTCACGGTGCAGATCATGCGGCTGCCCGTCGAGCGAAACGTCACCACTCCTCACGTTATCAGCAGCGAAATCTCAAAACCACGCTTTTCCACCAAGCTATTATGATACAGAACTTTGTCGAGAGATGCGTCGCGCGCTCTCCGATTGTAGTTTTCGTATAACGCCGCGTAGCTTGGTTTTTTTTCACATATACCATGTATAAAATACATCTTTTATTATCAGCTAGTTGGCCATTCGTGTAATAATTTTGCAATTATACATGAAATTATAGCGTATTATAACATGTGTAGTATAATACATAAATAGAGCACAGTGACAGCCAGTGAAGTCTTTCAGGTGCCCAGCTCGCGAGTACTGTAAATCTTTTGGACATCAACGAAACGGAATCCCATTGTAAATTATATAGAAAATATCGATAGTTTTAGTTTCACACATACACAGACGACACGCGAGATGTTGCGTCGCGATGATTTTACGTGGGCGGCGACACCAGGATGACACCGTCGCCGCGCACAAACAGCATCTGAATGGTCCTCTTCTTCTGGCGATAAATCTCCTCGTACGTTTCCTCGTCGATCTCCACTATGTTTATGATCTCCTCCACGTCGCCCAGCACCATGTTCAAGTGTTGATCGAAGGCCTGAAATTGCATCGAGATGTATAAACATTATTTTCCAAAACAATACTTTCGCTATCTTTTGAGTCAGTTGCGCCGCCAGCGCAACAATAGATCTAGATAGTAGAAGGTTCCTCACGTGCAATTTTCCTCGGAGTTCTCTCTCGTTTCTCATCTTCACGTAAATCCGCTCCTCCAGGCTCAGCTTTATGAGGTCCAGCGGCTCCTTCACATCTATCGGCGGCAGCTGTTTTGGGAGCAACAAGATTATAACGAACGAATATTTGCAGTAGCCATTTACGCGAGCTGTAAACTAACCTGCTCTGATTCCTCAACCATTGTTGATCGTGTCTCTGATTTCTCGTGACAGTCGCGCAATACTGTTTGATCGCAGTCGAGGATCGCGGATTAATGCGCAAATTGTAAATATCACTTGTAATTAGTGTATCACAGGGTCGCAGCAATTATAGGTTACCGGCTACCACCATAGAATATGATGGAAAAACTGAATTGCGTGTCGGTCGGTGTTTCGGGACAATTCTGCTCTTGTCCAAAAACTTAGCTGGCGGTCGATCTAAATTTTCTTTGTTTCATGGTTCGGTCGATACCAGTTGCCGACTTGCTGGCACAGATGGCGTTGGAATGCGACTGACCGACAACGACGTAAACATGACGCGTCTTGCGTGGGTTCCAGAGAAATTTGCATCACCCCGTCGCGTAGAATCGAAAAAGAATATGTTCAATATGTTTCGCCGAGTTGAGCGATTAAACTCCGAAGCCATCCGTGGAGCAAATGCATTTCAATTGATACATCTAACCAGGTAATGTGATATATACATTCTGGATCAACCGAAAGAGAGAAGAAAGTTCGAAACAGATTTACAAGACGAAAAGTGGCAAGCGGCCGTCGATTCAAATGTTGCGCGTCGCCGTGGACGGCCACGGCGCCGCGGGCGCCTCCTGGCGGTGTCCGGCGAAGTCTGAGCCGCGGCCCCGGCGGAGCGAGGAAGCGAAGCGAGCGAGTGAGCGAGCGGAGCCGTGCGACCGCTCTGTTGCTGCTGCTGAGTGCTGCGTGCCGTGCCACAGCGCAACGCCATTTTCCTGTGCCCCCGCGGGTGAAGTCGATCCGCGTTAGTTTCTACGTTCGTACGCGGTCGTTCGGTCGGGGACATCTCGCGACGTCTCGCGGGGCGACGTCGCCCACGTTTCGATCTCGGCCGCATCGCCTCTCGGCGGAGGGACTCCCGTCGTCCTGCCCGTTTACTCCTGCTTCGCCTGGAGTGCGCTCGGCTTCCCCGCCCGGGATATGCGTGGACACGCGGCGGACAGCCGTGCGACGGATACGATGGTGAGTGGCGAGAGCGAGCGCGAGTGTGAGAGAGAGAGAGAAAGTGTGAGACAGAGGGAGGAGGAGAGGCATAGAGCGGTGATTATAATCGCGAGCGGCGGTGAGACGGGGCGAGCGAGAGTCGTTCCGTGTGTTCCCGTTGTGACGTCTTGTCAATCGGTCCTTCTTCCCGTGCGCCGTCGGTCGTCGCGCGACAGCCACGGTAACGGAACTCCCGCACCAGGGTCCCCGATAAAACGAGCCGCGGCGGCGGCGTCGAGGAAAAAGACGGCGGTATCGCCGCCACCGCCACCGCCGTCGCTGCCGCTCGATGGGCGGCGGTTTCCCGGGGGGGAGGGAGCGGCACATGGCCGTCGTCGCGTTAGGACACGGGGCGCCGGCTGTCCGTGCAGGGGGTGACCCTCCCCGAGAAGTATTATTCTCTCGCTCGCTCTAGGTCTCTCCCTCTCCCTCTCTCTCTATCCTTCCACGGAGCGAGAGAGGCCTCTGTCTTTTTCCCCCCGTCTCGTCGTTCGAGCGACGCCGCTGTCTCCCCGACGTTGACAGCGCGATGTCGATCGTCGAACACGTCGCTGTTACACCCGTAACAGCATGTAATTATTAACCCGTCGCGCCATCCGTGGGACGATAAAGACCCAGATGTGTCACCACGAGATTGATTAAGTAATGATTTGATTTGTAGCTCCATTTTGGAGGCGGCCTCTTAACACCCCTTGCAAATCGTGTGGAGATGTCTCGACTCCACTTTAGAACCCTTTCAAATTTTTCGTTCTTAATTTCAATATAAAAAAAATAATATGAATTATACGATTAATTTTGCCATTGCCGAGCCTTGTCGCGTTTTATTGTTCCCTTAGTGTGTCGAGATGTCTCGACTCCACCTTAAAACCCTTTCAAATTTTTCGTTCTTAATTTCAATATAAAAAATAATATAAATTATACGATTAATTTTGCGAGCCTTGTCGTTTTATTATTTCTTTATTGTTGAGATTAAGACTGTACAAAGGAACGGACGCAACGGACTTATACAAGACGTGAGCAAAGTGGTCAGCGTCGGTGTCCGTTGATTTTGTCATTGACAATTCCGTCGTTTCACGTCATTCTTGCTAGCAATGTTTTGCGCCTGACACTCGTTAAGAAAATCGAGAAACATTGAACGCAAGTAGATAATTAAACGTAAAGATATTGTTACATAATAATATTACATATATACATCAACAACAATCGTATGATTGTTCTACTTTGGGAAACTTACGATATTCAATTACGATAACTTTTATCATTACACGTAGGTACCTATAGTATAGATTCAATCTTTGTGTCGTAATCTCGCGAGCGACGCGTGCGTTTCTCAAGGCCTTTCGCGAAAGATTCTGGCCCTTCGTGCACGCGTTTATACGTGCGTACATATTCGCGCGTGTTGCGTGCACGATGGAAACGTGGAAAAACAGCGGGGAAAAGCTCGAACGCGTGGGAAAGCAAGTGCCCGGAGGAGGGAGTTTTGCGATGGGGGCGAAACCGGAGGAAGGGTCGGTAGAACGTGCCGGGAGTATCGCGCGATGTAAATCAACGATCGTTTAAAAATAATTTGCGTGTGAAATGAACGCGCTGTGCCGCGGTTGTTAACGCGCCGCGATACGGGGTATCTCGACCAGGCCGCGATACGTATCTCGACATGAACGTGAATTATTCGGTCTCTCCGTATCGTATTGTATAATTGATAATCATCGCGGTGCTTGCACCGGAGAAAAAAAAATGATTGTTGTATTACCAACACATCTAATTGAAAAAAATCTCGTTAATTCAGTGGCAGTATAAATGAAACAAATATGCCATGCCTCTTCGTTTTGATATAAATGTTATTTGTTTTATTAATAATACTGTTATTGAATAAACAAGATTATTTTCGATTAGACTGCTAACGATGGTAATAAAACACCATTTTTTCCAATGTGGTCTTGAATGGAAATTTATATTTATCGGGAGCTCGAATTGCAAATGTTAAAGTGAGAACGATTCACGTGCATTCGACGAATCACAACGACGGCGCGGCGCGAAGAGCGGATCCGTCCGTCTGACCTTTTCTACATTAATTTATTAATGAACCGTTAGATCGCGGTCGCCGCACGCATTCTAACGTAGGTATACGCGTGTGCGTGCACGCGGCGCTATCAATTGACGACTGTTGACACGCCAAGTCATCATTTTTTTTTCTTGCTGTCTAGGCGCAAGGTTCTCCGTCTGAGAGAATCGATCCTCGGATTCGACGCGCGAACGCTTTCTCATGGGGCCTGATTAAACCTTCGACACGTCTCGGATGTCCAAAATGTCCATTTTGGAACTTCGAAATCTCGCCATTGTGTAACTTCGGAGTTTCGGTAACTCCTCCTCTCGTAACTTTCAACGTCTAACTATCTCGACTCACCATTTAAACGACTTGAGATTGAAGGTCTTGGAAATCTTGAAATTCTGAAATTATCAAACGTTCAGTTCAATAAATTTTGTGAGATTTTCAGTCCCTGTAATTTTTATACTTTAGGAAACTTACGATATTTAATTAATTCTGATCATTACACGTATCTAGTAGATTCGACCTTTTTTTTTTAAATCGAAGCTGCAGAAGTTTAGAATTTCGAAGCCTTTGGGGAATTCTAGGGTTTCTCAAAAGTTCGAAAACTTTATTAGTTCGGTCTTGTGATCTCTGTGACCCAATTGGATCCGCATCTACCCTCTCGGCTCTGTTGACATTCCCAATGTAGCCCGAGGGAGAATGCGACCGGCAAGCCCGACCCTCTCTTATTCGTCCACAAGTTATTCGGCTAATCTTGGATCATCTTCCGGTGGATCCCCCTTAGCCGCTGTTAGCCAACCGAATCGTATCTCGAAGTCGATAGTCAAATCGAGTTGACATTCCTCGCTCGGAATCTCGATAACGCAACAAAGTTATCTCGCGCTATCCTTTTACACAGAATGAAACATGACTCTTATTTTTTTCGGTGCTGTGTAATAGATATATACTCTTATATCGATTTTCTAATTATTCTATTATTTCCCCGAGCACGTGCAAGAGTCGTCGCGAGAATATCGTGACCGTGTTGCTTATAGACACTTGTGCACAGTACCTGTGTGCCGCACTCGCTCTCCAGGCCGCGGCGTTACCTTGAACGGGGTCGACCGCGTGCCGTCGTCGTGTAACGTAAATATCTATGCCTATCCGTGGCATTTCGTCTCGCGAAATTTGTGCAATGCAAACGGACCGGCGAGATTACGCAATTGCACGCCGACGCAGACTCACGCGCTTTGCAACGTCATGTACTCTTTGTTTCTGTCAGATCGCTCCGTTCCGCGGTTTTCTGTTCTCTTTTGCGTGACAATAAGTGTTAAAATGAGAAAAAAAAGGAGAAGATATATATTGCTCTCAACAGTGCCAACAGATTAAAAATGGAAGAGCAGCTATTAAATAATATCGATAGAGCAAACAGATCTCCGACGTTATTCTCGTTGCCGATTAAATATTAATAATTACACGGAGTTAAATTAGAATTACGTAACGTTGTAGGATAAACTTTTGCTCTGAAGCATTGCACGTACGAAACCGTCGATACCGCGATGATATCGGAATATTTTTAATGCATCCCCCATTTGATGCAGATCCCAAGAAGCTCCGGTGGGCTCCCGCGGCGTGACGGAAAAAGACGCGCGATGTAAAATCGATAGTCCGGCCTTTACTGTGCTCACGGTTCGACGAGGGTCGTGGGAAATCGCTGCGAAATCGCGGAGTTAACCGCAGAAGGGTATCGTCGACGCGCCCTCTCCCTCCCTTCCCCTCCCCCCCTACCCCGTCGATGTCTTTGCTCCTTCGCTTTTTAAAAAATTGCCAAAAATTGACGCGCGATTACGCGTGCGTCTCTCTCTTCTTACGCAACAGTCCCACACGCAATAATACCTGACCGCATTTCCGACCGTGCCGGGAGGGATCAACGAGCGAAACTGGGTTATTATACGTATTTCTAGTCGCGCGACTGCGAAACCGGCGCGAGTGACGTCGCATTATCGAGGTCAATATTCTGTACTTAAATTGGACCGTGATGTTGAGTGATCGACTTGTTCTCGATTGGAAAAAATTGTGAACTGTCGCGTGTAAACTATAGAAATCCTCAAGGCAAAATACAATATCAGCTGACGCAAGGACAGCATCGTCTTATTATTTTATTATCTTACGATTCAGATCTGAGTGAGTTCAAGTCACTTAAATTCCTTTTTAATTTAATTCCTGTCCATGTCAATCAACAATCTGGAATCTTTGAGTCTCTCTCTTTTTTTCTCTTTGGCTCGCTAATGTATAAACTCGACTAATATTGCATCGCGAGTGAGGATTAAGTCTCTTTGAACTTCGTTCGGCGACTCAGTTTGACTCGAGGCTGTCGTCGACGCGCGTTGCCGGACTCGTTTATAGGAATTACGCAGATAATATCGCCGTTGATCCGGCTTTAATATACCGCGACTGGCGACGACTTAGTTTATTACAACGAGCCGCTTATTCGCGCGCGTCGTAACTCCGCGAGCTCAGCGCTTTTGATTGACAAGCAATCTCTGCTCTCGCGTGTAATCTGCACCTCTCGCTACGCATCTACAAGCTTCAGCTTGTGTCCCGGGCGCGATGTGTGCGCGCGGTTTGATCTTCCCTCGCCATTAATCGTACTTATCGTATCAGAAGTTTTACTATCAAGCTTCTGAAATACTTATCGCTATCAGTGAAGAGACAACAAAATTATTTGTAACCTTTTGAAGAGAGCTCGACGAATACATAGCACATGAGGACATATTTGAAATTTTATTTGTGTATATTTTAAGGCCAATGTATGGGTGTTTAATCTTGAAAAATTAATGTTTTCCGAGGAATTGGATATAAATTTTTTTTATTTTCTTCAGGAAACCATTCGGTTACATTCGGATTATGGTTTTATTGTGAATTTTATATGGTTGCGGTTTAATCCGTG